CTTTTTTTTTTTTTTTGTATTAAAGGGGTTTTATTTAACATCTCACCAACGTTTAGTTATGTAATATGATGCAAAATTTCAATTAAAGTCATTCACAATACTAAAGAATTCTTTTTTGATTTTGAGTTATAAATAGATGAAACCTCAATAAATATTTTACTAATTTTGTAAATAGTCAAACCCTCAATTCTTATTTAGTTTTTCTTCTAAATGTATAACTAAAATCAAATTGAATAAGAAGACGAGATCACAAAGAGTCTTTGAAAATTTCACCTACATGTATTAATTGAATCATTATATTAGATCAACACATATCATCCATGTGTATTGATCTAACGAAACAAAATCTCGTTAACGTAGGATAAGGCTACAGTCCCGTTTTTACTATTTGATCAACCTATGTTGTTACGAGTATATATATCACGTACTTGAGTTGATTTAACGATATAAATTAAAAATGAAAAACTCGGTTTTATTGAAATCGAACGTGCCGAGAGTCTTGTGGAGTCCCTGGTTTTTAGTGCAAAAAAAAGGAAAAAGGACAAAAACTCACGCACCTTGCATTTCCTGCTCAAGCTCCACCTGCTTGAAGACCCTAGCTCACTTACACTCTCATATTCTCGCAAGCTCTCCCAACGAGTACTCCGGCGAAAAAGATGCCGGACGAGGCCGAGCCGGCGGACCTGTCTGGCGACTACGGCGCGCCTTTCCCCATTCACTCTCGAGATGAGGGCGCCAGGTACGTCTCCCTCAGCAGCAGTCGCCGCTTTACCAGTCCCAGATACCTCGATTTCGACCTCATGCCGGCCTCACATGCCGACGCCGTCCACAGGCACTGCCGTGCGCTGGGTTGGGACAAATTCGTCCGGACAAGACATGACGGCTACAAGCAGCTCATGCTGGAGTTCTACACGACGCTGGATTTCGTCTCCGACGGCGGCGGAGATGGTGGGTCGGAGCTCAGATGCCGTCTGATGGGGAGGAGTGTGTCCATCACGCGCCGCTCGCTTTGCGATCTGTTTGGGTTTCACGAGGGCGGGCACACGGCGGTCCCTGGGGACTTCGATCCGGCGGGTTTCTGGGCGGAGATAACCGGAGGGCGGGTGTACAGATCCAGTGAGTCCAGCCGCTTTATCAAGGACCGAAGTCTTCGTATTATGCAAAGTTACATATGGCAGGTGGTCCTGGGGAGGATCGATTCAGGCAAGATTACGGAGAGATGTCTGTTCTACCTGCAGTGTATGAGCCGTGGGGTGGGCGTGTGCACCCCAAGCTTCCTCGTGGGCACGTTTAAGTCCGTCATCCGCAATCCCCAGGCTAATTTGTGCCTTGGAAACTTCATTACTGGTATTGCAGTTTGTTTAGGCGTGCTTGATTCTAAAAATATGGATCTTGTGCCTGCACGTGCTTTGGGTTTGGGTATGCTAAAGGGGGTTCCTGATCATGGTAGCTGTGCTGAGTTCAAGGTTCTCAAGGAGCCTAAGTGCTACAAAACGGATGGTGTTAGGCCGGTGACCGATGACATTTTGATGTCCATCTGTCGTTGGCTGGAGAAAATGGAAAAGTGGATGAAGGATGGGCTCGCTGCTGTAAATGCACAGTTGAGTATATTCGGGGCCCGTCTTGATGCTGTGGAGAACATGGTTTGTTCCATGGATTCACGCTTTCGAACTTTCTGGAGTAAATGGGAGGACTCTGGGCAGGAGAATGTCAATACTGATAAAACTAGTGATGAGTTGAGGATGGGAAAATTTCAGAATTTGAGGCCAAGAATCAGGAAAGTTGACGAGGAACATTTTAACTTGGAAGAGGAAGGAAATTTGGGTTTTTCAGATGCCAAGGGCAGAAATGAAGGCTTGAGATATGCAGATATTTTGTCGCCTGGGGTGCGCTCAGTTTCTAATTCTACTGGAAATAGGAGCTTTAGACCGTCGATGGAAGGTAGTTCGAGTTATTTGTGAAGCATGCTGTCTTAAGTTGGTCAAATATTTGATGGTTTGTTGTTCAAGTTACTTGTGATTTGTGAAGCATGGTGTCTTAAGTTGGTCTGATATGTGATGGTTCCTTCTCTTCTTCTTCTCATTTTTTTGGCCACTTTCTTTATGCATAGGAAGTCGGTAGTTTGTGGTTCATCTCAGTACTGTCTGTTATTCTTAAGGGTTTAATGCTTGTTTAATGAGTTCCATTCAAGTACTCCATATTGAGTTCACTTGGGACTTCTCACTCAAGTATTGTTTCACTGCTGTTTTTAATTTCTGTAGCCTATATATTTCTGTGCTCGTCTTACAGAAGAACTAAAACATATTGCCCGGCCATATTTTGCTGTCATGAGACTCAATTGTTTGAACTTCGTTAAAAGGATCTTCTGCAGGGAGTGTTGTGCCTTTATTTGATAATCTGCATAACGAGAGAGTTAGTGACAAATTTATTGTAACAACTCAGAGCTTTGATTGTCTACTACTTTGTTTGGATAATATGCGCTCCTTTGGAAATAAATTATCCTGAAAAGTATTCCATGATTTGAACAGAAGCATGAGGGTCATTTATGAAGCTGAACTAGAACTAGCACTCTAACTACTGGCTTGAGTGTATGTGTTTGTGTGTAATAAAAAAGACATAGTCTGAGTTGTTGGCTGTTTTACAACAGCATTAACATGGTTGCATGTAGGTGACAGAAAATTAGCTAAACCTTGGATGCGAGAGAATGATTCACACTTTGTTAAATCGTCTTGTGCTTCAAAGTTACCTCACGGTCTTCCTGAAGCAGAAAGGAGTGATACAGTTCAAGATGATCATCATGGAGCACCATCTGGTTTTGGTATATATTTACCATCTTTTCATGGCTTTTTATCAAAATTGAAATGTGCATATCTGGTATTTCATTTGGCCCTTATGACTTATTAAGGTTTATCATTAGTTATTAAACTCAGGTTCTGTTTCCAGTTGAACGTTTTGTGAAATGGGAATAAGTATGCATGGCTGCTTTTGGCAAATAGATCAATTGCTTATAGTTGCAAGAAGACTCTAGACAATTGAAAAATCATCCTACATTTTACTCAGATTGCCAGGACAATTGAGAAGACTATAAGATCTCATATATTAGGATCACTTGCTTGACATTTTGCTCGAGTTTTTTGATACTCTTTTTTCAGTTTCTGCATGCAAAGCAATCATCTATAATTGAATAAGAATGCTACCTAAATTTGTTTGGCCATACTAAAAGTCGTGCTAACTAGTCAACTAGATGGAGCCTTTAACAGCTGATCTGCCTTTAACTAGTCGTGCTAAATTCGTTCGTGTTCCGTAGTAAATTTAAGCTCTAACATCAATCTAATGCCTTTGGAATTTAGTTAATATGTGTCAATTTTTTTCTTCTTGTTTGTTTCACTTTGGGCTGGTATTAGGCTGCAGAATCATTATTAAGTAACCTTTTCTAAGTTGAAACCTGTCTTTTTGACATGTATAATTGAGAATATGCTTAAGGTTTGTTGTTCCAATGATATCTGTTTACATGTGTCACACAAAGATGAGGTCATGCTACTTTTAATTTGCATATGAAAGCAAACCTATCCAGCAAGACGTTTTAAGTTGTATTTATCTTAAATAAAAAAAAAATGGTGAAAAAAGATTGTCAAACATAATGCTGCAGGTGTTAGAAGCATGGTTTGGTGTTCGGCAAAAGAGAAGAATGCATGTAAAGTAAAACCTTATTCTGGTTTACATTCGGGTCGTGTGGATATGCGCTTGAG